CGCAGGTGCGGTAGTCAATCACCGCCTCACTAAAAAGCTGGGCATTACGGCTATGAATGCGTACCGGATGCGGTTAAACCTATCAGCCGGAAGCCAATAGATTTAACCATTGAACCAGGCATGCTCACCATTATTTTAAAGCCCTCTGTAGCCGGGTGGCGGACTTGGCATTTCTCCGTGACGGCGCATATGCCCGCGTTTATGGAGGAAACAAGAACTCAGGCAACTGGCAAGAACGGCACAGACGATAATCATCTTCAGTACTTTCATAACTATTCAATTTTATGTAACGTATGTATTGCTGTATATGAATTAAAACGGCAACATCCATTAACGGGATTGATGGTTGGTTTATTTTAATGACAATGGTCATTAACTGTTGAATAGTAAATGATAAGAAAGGCTGTTGCAGGGTGTTATTTCCGTAGCAGGAACAAAGCGGATGGAATGGTCAAATAGAAACAAGCTTTCTGCATGCGTTCATTGCTTTTGATCATGTTTTTTAATAGATTATTTATATTATAATAAAAATAGCGTACCGCCCAATGAACAGGCGGTACGCTATTGACAGTTGTTTATGAATCCGTTTACTTCACCTGCTGCATCTCCACCAGCTTGGTATAGATACCGCCGGCTGCCAGCAATGAATGGTGATTGCCGCGTTCCACAATACTCCCTGCATCCATCACGATGATCTCATCAGCATGTTGTACGGTAGAGAGGCGGTGTGCAATGACCACGCAGGTGCGGTTTTGCATCAGCTTATTAATGGCTTCCTGCACAATGCGTTCGCTTTCCGTATCCAACGAAGACGTGGCTTCATCAAGGATCAGGATGGGTGGATTTTTTAATACGGCACGTGCAATGGTGATACGCTGGCGCTCACCGCCGCTCAGCCTGCTGCCCCGGTCGCCAACTACGGTTTCATAACCATCTGGTTTATTGGCAATAAAGCGTTCGGAGTGAGCAATGGTAGCGGCTTCTATCACCCGTTCTTTAGTGGCGCCGCCGGTACCCAGTTTAATATTATTGAAGATCGTGTCATTAAAAAGGATCGGGTCCTGGCTCACCACACCCATCAGGCGGCGCAGCTCATC